GTGGCTGCGCCAATTTACATTCCCACCAACAGTGCACACAGATTCCTTTTTCTCCACATCCTTGCCAACACTTGTTATTTCTTGCCTTTTTTATTCTAGCCATCTGACAGGTGTGAAGCGATATCTCATTGTGATTTTGATTTGCATTTCCCTGATGATTACTGATGTTGAGCATCTTTTCATGTGTCTGTTGGCCATCTGTGTGCCTTCTTTGGAAAGTTAGACCAAAAAAGACAAATACCATATGATTTAACTCATATGTGGAATCTAAGAAATGAAACAAAGAAACGGACAAACAAACAAACAAAAAACAGACGCTTAAATACAGAGAACAAACTGGTGGTTTCCAGAGGGGAGGTGGGTGGGGGGATGGAATAGATAAAGGGCATTAAGAGGTACAGACCTCTAGTTATAAAACAAATAAGTCACAGAGGTGAATAGTATAGCACAGGAAATATAGTCAATAAGATTGTAATAATGTTGTCTGGTGACAGAAGGACTATACTTATCGTGATGAGCACTACTGAATAGCGTACAGAATTGTTGGATCATTATGTTGTACACCTGAAACTTATATAACATTGTATGTTAATTATACTTCAATATAAAATAAATTTACAAAAAACACAAGCTCTGGAGGGAAAAAATAATACATATGACTACATAAAACATAAAACTTCTACAAAAACAACAAAACAAAAATCTTCTATAAAGAAATCTGAAAGACAATTCATAGCCTAGAAGATGATATTTGCAACATAAATAACAGAAAGGATTAGTAACTTTGGAAATTAGTAATGGGGAACCCTCACTAAAACGGAGTCTGGAGGTTTCCCCAGGGAGCTCTCACGCCCTATCACTCCAGTCAGTTGCAGGTGCAACAGGAAGAGTCTGAGTTGATCTTGCATGTGCACATTACTCTACCGTTTAGGTGGAGGAAGAGACGCTTTCCTTATCCCCCTCCCCTCCAACAACAGCTCAGCCAATGAGAAGCCCCTACACTTGTAACTCTCAGTTTACTCCAGTGGACTTTTTAGCTTATAACAGCCTTCCCAACTACCCCTTTTCTCCTTAAGAAAGTGTACCTCTCCTTTGTTCCTTGGACTTGCCTATGTTTTGCCACCACTTGTTTATCCTGGATTGCAATTCTTTTATTCCCAAATAACCCCATCTTTTGCTGGTAAAATAACTGGCAGGTTTTGTTCTTAAGGTTAACAGTATATATAAAAATGTTACAAAGTCATTTAATTTAAATGAATACAACACACAATCCAAAAGAAAAACAGAGTAAGGATATAAGCAGGCAATGCACAGAAGAGGAAATACATGGAGATATGCAAATTATACCTACCACACAATGCAACCTTTTCCAAATGATAAAAATATAAGACTTGAAAAATATCAGGTACCAGTGAGGTTATGAGTGAAAGTGCTTTTATAAACTGCAAGCCAGTGTAAATTGGTACCGATATTTTGAGGGGCTATTTGGCAGTATTAACTAAAATGAAAATGGGCATACGTTATGACCCAGAGATTCCATTTCTAGGAATCCACCCTAAAGAAACACCCACATATGTGCACAGAGCTATTCACTGAAGCATCATTTGTAATAGTGAAAAATATAAAACACCAACTGTCTATTAGCAGGGAAATAAACTATAATATCCAGGCGATGTAGGAGTTAAGAAAATATGTGGTAAATCTCTAAATATTGACATACACTGAAGGGTCGCCAAGTGATATTGCTTTAAAAAGTTCCAGAAAAATACAGAACAACATTCTAAATCAAAATAAAGTCAGTTCTCCATACTTTTAAAGGTACAGGTACATATATAAATGCAGAGAAAGACCTGGAGGGTAACCAACAAATTGATAATAACAGTTAACTCTGGGGAGGGGACTGTATTGGGGTAAGGGACAGTCAAGGAGGATTTTGACTCTATATGGCTTGAATTTTAAAAAATAAGAGTACATTCACTTATTATTTATCTAATTAAAAATAGATAAAACTTATAAAATGATACACAACTATAAATTCGTATCTAAGGTTATAGGCAAAGTCCCATGGGAACACAGTGAATGAAAAATTGGTATGTAGAAAAGATTTTATAGCATCGTGACATTTGAGCTGGGCCTCACTGTTTAAATAGGATTTTGTAAAGCATCCATAATTTGGTGGAGGACTGTGGCAGACTGTATTTTCCAAAGATGACTGTACTAACACACACACCATCCTGTGTGCTTTTCTTTCAATATGACATTGACACTTGTCCAAAGAGTGTGGGGGTCTACATTCCCTCCCCTTGAACGTGGGCAAGATTTTGTGATTGCTTTGATGAACTGAATGGGAAGGAAGTGTCATAGCATGATTTCTGAGATTATTCAGCTTATGCCTGGTCCTTTCTTTTAAAGGATGCTCACCCTTGGACCCCAGCCACCATGCTGTGAGAAAGCCCAAACTACCCCATGTGGAGAGACCACAAGAAGAGGCCCATGTGGAGAAAAACTGAGGCCCCCAACCGATAGTGGGCACCAACTACCAGACACATGAGTGAACACGCCTTCAGATGATTCCCGTCCCCAGGCTTTGTGTTCTCAGGCTGAGGCCCAAACATACGTCATGGGGCAGAGATAAGTCATCCCCACTGTGCCCTGTCCCAATTCCTGACCCAGAGAATCCATGAGCAGAATAAATGGTTATTTTATGCCACAAAGTTTCAGAGCAATGTGTTACACAGTCGAAGTAACTGCAACAAAGACTTTCTAAGGAGAAGAAACTATACAAGTAATAGAACTTTGCAGAGCATTGTGAATATTGTTAGTACTGGGTGATGAGGTAACAAAGGTTGGCTGGGACCAGGCCATGAAAAGTCTCTAATGACAGTCTCACATGTCTAAAAAATTAGACATCCTATTGGCAGTGGGAAACTGTGGAAAGTTTTTAAGCTGGGAAGTGAAATGCTTAAAACTGCACTTGAGCAAGATATCTCTGAGATTGGTGTGAAGTAAAGACGGGAGAAAAGGAAGACTCAAAAATAAGAAAAGCTCCTCCATTTATGATGAGTTCCAACCAAGTAACATGGTGGAATCATCCCTCACTCAACATGTTTTGTGACTTTTTTCCTCTTAAGGGCTGCCTCTTAGGCTCATTTATATTCCATTTCACTTGTATTACAATGTTGGCAGGGGAAACATTTCCACACAAAAACGTGCACATGGATATTTACAGCAGCTTTATTTATAAATGCCCCAACTTAGACACAACGAAGATGTTCTTCAGCAGGTGAATGGATAAATACCTTAGCATATCCTATTCAGCACTAAAAAGAAATGGGCTATCAAGACATGAAAAGACATGGAGGAGCCTTAAATGCATGCTGCTGAATAAAAGAAGACAGTCTGAAAAGGCTATATCCTGTATGAGTCCAACTATATGACTTCCTAGAAAAGGCGAAACTATGGAGACAGTTAAAATATCAGTGGTTGCCAGGGGTTAGGAGGAAGGAAGGAATGGCAGGCAGAACACAGAAGTTTTGCAGGGCAGTGAAATACTCGTATGATACTATAGTGGTGGATACATGTCTTTATACACTCATCCAAACCCACAGAATACACAACACCAAGAATGACCCCTAATGTAAACTATGGTCTTTGGGTGACGATAAAGCATTAATGTAGGTTCGCTGATTGCAACAAATGTGAGGTGTTGGTAGTGGGGGAAGTTGTGCTTGTTTGGGGCAGGGGTATATGGGAAAATCTCTGTACCTTACACTCAATTTTACCGTGAACCTAAAAATGCTTTAAAAAGTGGAAGTCTATTTCAAAAAGGTTGGGGGGGTAATATGAGGGGACATTAGATCACAAAAACGTTTTCCTTACCATTCTTCTTTCAAGCTTCTGGATCTGGATCAGTTTACATAAAGTGTATTCTAAGAATACAGAGCAAGCTGTCTTAAAAATGGTAACCACTTACAACTAATTATCCATGTGAGTAATACCATCCTTGTACTACAAATATCACCATAACCCACAACTTCATGTTCCGTGTTTATTGAAATACCCTCATCATCATTCTCACGACTAGTTTATAAGAAAATTATATAAATGTGAGTCTGTAAAATAAATCTATTCTAATCAAGTACAGTTTTTATATTTTGGATATTGGGGATCTATATAAGGAGAAAATCACAGTACGTGGCCCAAAGATGAGGGAGAAGATGAAACACAGAACATAAGGAGCCACCTCTGCAGTAAGGGAAAGGATGCTTGGACGAATATAAAAGCAAAGATAAATGAAGGGATGAAAGATACTAATGAGAATGTTTCATTCTCCTCTTGGCAGAGGGTCCTGAGAGTCCTAGAGTCCTATATTTTGAGAAAAGTAAGAGGAAGAATGTATTAAAAATTGAGTTTCTGAAGAATAGGGACAGTATGGAGTGGCTCCACTGTGAATCAATCAGATCTCGAGTAGCAGCAGAGCCCAGTTGGAATTGGATAGTGTAATTTATTGGAGGCCAGTTTGCATCATTTTCTACTGTGCCTTCTCTAATGTTAATTACTCAAGAGGTGATTAGCCAATTTGTGGGACGCCATACATCTTGCTTTTCACATTTTGGTCTAATGCTTGCTTATGAAAAATTAATTTAAACTCTTTATCAAAGAGAAGTTAGTACAAATGAAAAAAGGAACTCTTATTTTTCTGCATTTTAAACCACTCATAAGAGATTCGAGGTTTGCAGTTAATAATTTTTGAAACAATGAAAAAGAAAAAAAAAAGCAAAATAGAGGGAATAGAACCCCACTGAAACAAATGGTAAAATAAAATTACAGGATCATGTGTGGGTTGAATTCACCCATGCTGGTCCCATCCCTCATTATCAAAGTTAAATTAAAACCATTGCTGCCATATTTCACAAAATAAAATCTGATGTAAAGCAATTCCTGCCCAATGTTTCTTATTCATTTTTCTGAGTGACCTTTCTATTCTTTAACCAATTTACCTGCATCCCAGAGGTTACAAACGTCTGCTAGCCCTTCTGATAACCATTTAGTTGATGAGATAATGGAAGGAGGAATTGTCGGCAAAAGTGGCTTTGGATCATCCTCACAAAATAACATCAGGTCCTTAGAGAAAACAGGAGAGCACATGAAGGTTGAAAAAAATAATTGATCCCAGTGCTTCATTTTGCTAAAGTAGATGGACAATTTATGGAGATATAATGCGTCTATACGTGCTAACATAAACACATTTAATTGAAAGAACTCAAATATAAGTTAGCTATGTGTCCATTGAGTACAGGGTGGTTTTCTACCCTAGGAGAGCCTCACTCCTTGATGAAGACAGCTGGGGCAGGCAAGCAAGATTCTGTTTGAGGCATTAACTGTCCCTATCAGCCCTTGAGCATCCTTAGAGCACACTATCTCAAAAGCCAAGTTTTCTGTTTTACTGGTAATAATAAAGCAACCTATGTATAACTTTTATTCATATTTTAAAACTTTTTTTAATCATGGAGTAAAAAAATAGATGATAATTAATCCAGTCATGCAGGTTAAACAAATCAATGCATGGCCAGTCTTGTTTCACTTATATTCTCCCACTCCTCATCTGTTTTATTGTGAAGCAAATCCCAGATATATTACTTTTTCAGTATATCTCTCTAAATGACAAAAACTCTTTAACATAATAATTATTATTTTATACTTAGAAACTTCACAACTCCCCAATGTCATCAATTATAAACTCATCTTTCCAATTTCTCCTAAGTGCCATAAATGGGTTTCTCCATAGCTTATCTAAGAGAGGATTCAAATAAAGTCTACACAGTGGGATCAGTTGACATGTCTTTTTCCCCAGTGAACAGAGATTTGTTCTACAGTAAATAAATAAAGTTTATTTAAGATATAATTAACATAGAATGCATAGAGCTCAATAAATTTTAACATTGTATGTATACCTGTGTAGCCACATTTCTGTCACTCCAGAAAGTTCCCTCAAGTTTCTTTCCAGCTGATACTAGCTCCCCCGCCCGTTACCAGTACACAGTATTCTACCTTCTACCATAATGAATTTGCCTGTTCTTGAGCTTCCTGTGAATGTAATCATATACTATGTGCTCTTTTGTATTCAATTCCCGTTGCTTAATGTTTCTGAGATTCATCCATATTTTGTGTGTATCTGTTCCTTTTCTTTTCATAAGAAGTATTCCATTGTACGAATATACCACAATTTGTTTATCCATTCTCCTCCATATGGACATGTGGATTGTTTCCAAATTTCGGGTACTACGAATAAAGCTACTAAGAACATTCTTATACAAATCTTTTTACGGACAAATGCACTCATTACTCCTGGATATTTACACAGGAGTAGAATGGCCAGGTCATAGGATAGGTTAATTTTTTAACTTCATTGAAACTGCCAAACCATTTTCCAAATGATTTGCCACTTTTTATATTTTCAACTTTTATTTTAAAATCATTGTAGATTCATGTTCAGTTGTAAGAAATAGTACAGACGGATCCTGTGTATCCTTTAACCTGGTTTTCCCTAAAGGTAACATTTTAAAAATTGTAGTACAATATTATCCAGGATATTGACATTGATAGTCAAAACAGAGAACATTCGCATCACCGTAAAGATCCTTCCTGATATTTTATTACCATAGCCTGCGCCCCCCACAACTACTAATCTGTTCTCCATTTCTATAATTCTGACATTTGAAGAATGTTATATAAATGGAATCATACAGGATGTAACCTTTTGGAATTGGCTTCTTTCACCTGGCATAATTCCCGGAAATTCATCCAAGTTGTTCCATGTATTAATAACTTGTTCCTTTTTATTGCCCTGTAGTATCCATAGTGTGGATGTATCACAGTTTGTTTAACCTGTCAAAGGAAATCTGGATTGTTTCCAGATTTTGGCTATTATAAACAAAGTTGCTGTGAACACTGTGTACAGGTTTTTGTACGAAAATAAATTTTCCTATCACTGGGATAGATGCCTAAGAATGCAATTGCTGGGATGTATGGTAGTTGCATGGTTAGTTTTATAAGACCCTGCCAAACCACTTTTCCAAAGTAGCCATACAATTTCACATTTCCAGTAGTAATATTTGAGTGATCCAATTTCTCCACATGTCCACCAGCATTTGGTGTTGTCATTATTTTTTATTTCAGCCATTTTGGTATTTCATTATGTGTTTAAATTACATATTCCTAATAGGTAATGATGTTGAACAGCTTTTCATGTGCCTATTTGCCATCTGTATTTGCTGAAGTGACTGTTCTATTTGCTGAAGTGACTGTTCTTGTCATTTGCCCATTTCCTAATTGGATTGTTTGGTTTTTAACTGTTGGGTTTTGAGCGTTTTTTTCTAATTTTTAAATTTTTTAAAAATAGGCTCCCCACCTAAAGTGGGGTTTAAACTCATGACCCTGGGATTAAGACTCACATGCTCTACCAACTGAGCCAGTCAGGAACCCTGAAAGATTTTTTTTTTTTTAATGCTCCAGATATTAGTCCTTTGCTGGATGTGGGTTACAAATATTTTCTCCCAGGCTGTAACTTGTTTATACCCTTGTGTGATGAAGTCTAACTTTTTTTTCTTTTAGGGATCATGTTTTTGGTCAGCCCTAGAGCCCAAAGATTTTTCTCCAGTATTTTTAAAAAGTTTTATAGTTTTACATTTTACATTTAAGCCCATGATCCATGTGGACTGAATTTCTATGAGGTTTAAATTGAGGTTCATGGTTTTGCCTATGAATGTCCAGTTGTTCCAATATCGTTTGTTGAAAAGGTTATCTTTCCTCCATTGAATTCCTTTTGTTCCTCTGTTAAAAATCGATTGACTATATTTGTGTGGGTCTATTTCTTGGTTCTCTATCCTGTTCCACTGATCTAGGTATCTATCTCTCCACCAATATCACACTCTCTTCATTACAGTAGCTCTACAGTAGGCTTTAATATTAGGCAGAGTGATTAGTTCCACTTTATTCTTTTTCAAGATGGTTTTAGCTATTCTAGGGTCTGTGCCTTTCCATATAAATTTTATAATAACCTTATTATCTCTGTATAAAAAAACTGCTGGAATTTTGATAGGAATTGCATTAAACTTTATAGAGTAATTAGGGGCATCTTTACTATGACAAGTCTTTCAATCCATGAACATGGTATGTTTGACTGGTCTTTAGGTTCCTTCAACAGTATTTTATAATTAATTTTATGTATTTTATAATTTTCAGCATACTGATTCTATACATGTTTTGTTACAATTATACCTAAGGATTTCATTTTGGAGCATTAACTGTAAATTGCATGTGTCTTAATTTCAGTTTCCACATGTTCACTATTAGTATATAAAAATGCAACTCATGGAAGAATGAAGGGGGGGAAATCAGAGGGGGAGACGAACCATGAGAGATGATGGACTCTGAAAAACAAACTGAGGGTTCTAGAGGGGAGGGGAGGAGGGGGATGGGTTAGCCTGGTGATGGGTATTAAAGAGGGCACGTTCTGCATGGAGCACTGGGTATTATGCACAAACAATGAATCATGGAACACTACATCAAAAACTAATGATGTAATGTATGGTGATTAACATAACAATAAAAATTTAAAGATTAAAAAATAAATAAAAATAAAAATGCAACTCATTTATGTATGTTGATCTTGTATCCTATAACCCTGCTGAATTCACTTCCTGGTTCTAGGAGGGGTTTTTTTGTTGTTGTTTTTAAGATTTATTTATTTATTTTAGAGAGACTGCACGCATGTAGGGGGAGGAGCAGAGGGAGAGGGATAGAGAATCCCTGAGGCAGACCCTGCACCAAGTGTAGAGCTCTACACGGAGCTTGATCCCATGACCACAAGATCATGACCTGAACCTAAACCAAGAGTCAGATGCTTAACCAACTCAGCCACCCAGGCACCTGAGGATTGTTTTTGTCTTCTCTTTGAGATTTTCTGTGCAGACAATCTGTAAATAAGGACAATTTTATTTTTTCCTCTATGCTTCACATACCTTTTCTTATCGCAGTGTTTGGAACTTCCAGTGCTATGTTGAATAAGTCCTGGCCTTGTTCCTGATCTTGAAAGGAAAGCATTCACTGTTAAGAAGATGCTATTTTAGGTTTTTATAGATTATCTTTATCAATTTAAGGAAATTCCTTATTTCTAGTTGCTGACTTTTTATCATAAATGGGTGTTGAATTTTGCTAATAAATGTTTTTCTGCATTAATTGACAAAATCCTATGATTTTTCTTCTTTAATTTGTTGATATGATGAATTGCATTGATTGGCTTTCAAATGTTGAACCACACCTGGATTAAATCCCACTTCGACCTGGTGTGTAATTTTTTTTTAATACATTGCTGGATTTAATTGGATAATTTTTTTGAGGATTTTTGCACCTAATTTCATGAGAGATAATAGTCTATATTATATATATTTTTTGTACTGTCTTTTTCTGGGTTTGGTAGCAGAATAATACTTGCCTCATACAATGAACTGGGAAGTATTCCCTCCTATTTTCTGAAAGACATTTGTGTGAAAATAGGGTCAATTCTTATTTAAATGTTTGATAGAATTCTCCAGTAAAACCATCTGGGCTTAGAGATTTCTTTTTCAGGAGACTGATATTACAAATTCACTTAAAAAAATGGTTATAGGGCACCTGGGTGGCTCAGTCGTTAAGCATCTGCCTTCGGCTCAGGTCATGATCCCAGGGCCCTGGGATCGAGCCCTGCATTGGGCTCCCTGCTCAGTGGGGAGCCTGCTTCTCCCTCTCCCACTCCCCCTGCTTGTGTTCCCTCTCTCGCCGTGTCTCTCTGTCAAATAAATAAATAAAATCTTAAAAAAAATGGTTATAGAACTATTCAGGTTCTTTTTCATCTGCTTTGAATTTTGGTAGTTTGTGCTTTCTGAGAAATTGTTATAGTTCTTCTAAATTGTCAAATTTATGAGCATAAAGTTGTTGGCAGTAATTCTTTATTATCCTTTTATAGCTACAGGAACTACAGGAACATCCCCTTTCATCCTGATATTGGTGATTTAGGTCTCCTCTCTTTGTCAGTCTTGCTAGAGGTTTATCAATTTTATATTTTTCAAAGAACTAGCTTTTTG